GTCTTGCTCTCCTCTTCACCCTAAGCCCTCACTCCTCCACACTGCATCTTTCAAGCACGGTGAGCCGCTCAGTTTCCCCACAGTGCCATGCTCCTTCTTACCTCTGGGCTTTTGCACAGGCAGATCCTTCTGGAGAGCAAGCCCTCCCCACACCGCAGTATCTGACTAACTCGGTTCATCCTTCAGGCCTCACACCCCAAACTTAGGAGGTGCTCCTCTTCTGCACTCCCCAAGCAGCCCCCATGACCTGCATTGTAGCACTCTCCCTGTGCACCTCCACCATGAGCCTGCCATGTGGCACAGGCATGTCCCCAGCACCAGCTGGGGGCCTGGCAACAGAAAGCACTTCATAAATATTCACTGAGTGGATGAATTTTTGAGCTGGGAAGGCCTTATCCATCCCAGTTCTCCTTTCCCTCCCTTGCCCATCAACCCCTAAATCTTACGTAAGAGGAAGCAGCAGCACAAGGTAAGCAATATGGCTGGGAGAGAGCAGGAACCAGAGCTCATCTGTTGTCCGCTCCTTTGCGCATTCACTCAAACGCCATCTCCTGGGCATCTACACTGTGCGGAGTGCTGAGCATACAGAGATAAACACAGTTGACCCTTGCTCTCTAGAAACTCACAGCCTAGGGGAGAAGGCAGCCACAGGTCATAGGACATGGTTTAGGTGGCACAAGACAGACCAGAATAACAGTGGCTCAAATGAGACAGGTTACTCTCCTTCACATGGAAGTCTAGGCTTGTCTGGCAACTCAATCCCACAAAGCCACTGGGGGCCCAGGCCCCTTCTATCTCGTTGCTCGCTACATTCAAAAGTGAGAAACAGAGCTGGGATGAGCGATGTCTGTGCCAACCATCATAAAGCCTGGGAGAGAAGTAAGCAACAGGGAGTGTGCAGTGCATGGGGAATGTTCTGGCAGGTCCTGGGCCAGGCCGCCTTGGGCTCAGTTTCACTATTATGTGGGAAAGTTGGGTCGGCTTAGATGCTAGGCATGGGACAGGCAGTGGGAGCAGAGGAATCCAAGCGGAGGAACAGATCTGAAAGAAACCAAGGAGATGGAATCGACAGGACTTGGTCCCAAATGGATGAAGGATGTAAGGGCGAGGGAGAAGGCACCCATCCAGCCTGAGCAGCAGGATGATGCCAATGCCACACGCCAGGGGAATGACAGGGAGGAAGAACAGGCGACACTGAGTATGAGGTGAGCTGGTGGGGTGGGGAGCCCTTAACGGAGCTGCCAGGAAGCAGCTGGAGGTGGGTGAGGAGTGCTGGGCGTGGGCTGTGGGTTCACACTGGATAGTCATCATTGACAAGACAGAAACTGGAGCTCGGGAGGGACACATTCACCCCAGGAGAAGTGCTCAGCATGGTGACTTTCTACCTTGCATGCACACCCCGAAGTGTCAGGGAACTTCTATAAATAGAATGGGAGACTGGGATTCCCTGTGCCCCTACTCTGACCACAAAGAGTTTCTGACTCACTCTCTAAGGTGGGGAGCCCCTATCTGTGACTCTGGGTTCTTTTACTTGTGAGAGAAGACACCCAACTCAAACTAGCTTGAGCAAAAATGACTCCTGTAATTGAAAAGTGCAGGCATGGATGAGCTTCAGGCACAGTTTGATCCAGGAGTTTAAATAACATCTTCAGGACTCAGTCTCTCTGCACCTCTGCTTGCCTCTGTGCTCGCCTCATGTTCAGGTAAGATCTTTATGAATCATGGCAAGATGTCTCCTGCAGCTCTGGTTGGTACCCTCTTAAAAAGCCCTTCCCAATCTTAGAAGGTAAGAGCCGGGCATGGGGTCAGTCCCATCAGAGCCACATGGACTGACAGTAAGGGGTCCCCCAGGGGAAACTGAGCCACAGTTATGGGGAGAAGTGAGAATAGGTTCTGGAGATAAAACAACAGGGATCCGTGCTCCTGTGGCCTCTACAGGTGATTCTGATGTGCAGTCAGATTAAGAGCTGTGGGGAGGGAGCACAGCCCAGCAGAGTCTCTGTGACTATCCTGAGGAGACGTAACCCCCATTTTGACCCAGGGAGAGGAAGAGGAGTCTTCAGGAAGGACTAAAAATCAGCCCAGAAGGACAGGAGTAGACGGAGCAGTGGGCTCTCAGAATCTGGGATGGTAACAGCTTCAGGAAGTGGGAGGTCGACGCTGTCAAAGCCCCAAACAAGGAGAAAAGAAGTGGGGTTTGTGCACTAAAATTGGGCTTGGGGTGAATGATAGGATTTTCAGGTGCAGAGAGCTGATGAGCGAAGGGTGGACGTTCTGACAGAGAGTGCAGCAGGAGCAAATACGGGGAAGCAGAAAAACACAGAAAATACTTGATGAACAGCACAGCCTATGTGCATAGGAGCATTTTTTTTCTTAACTCTCTATCCTGGTACCCAGAATATCTCTTTTTCTCTAGGAGTAGAAGCATGGCCACATAGCAAGTTCAAAGTCTTTGGGTTAACGTTGAAAGCCTTCTTCTTGGTACAAACAAGAAATTCTTCCTGAGCTATAAGACCCCTGCCCTTCTTCCTGGGAATCCCCAAAGCACTTTCTTGTAGCCTGTGCACTGTTTTGTGGATTTTCACTGTTCTGCTTCATGTGGCTGTTGTATTTGCACATATCCAATCTTCCCCGCTGGATTTTGAGCTCCTGGAAAGTAGGGTCTTTTCAGCCCCGTGTCCCTGGGTCCCAGCCCCAACTTCTGCAGAAAAAGCATTCAAGATGAGCCCAGTTCCTCTGTGCCTGTGGTAGGCAACGCTTCACTGGAAGGTGGAATTCCCCAGAACATGCAGGGAGAAGGGAAGGGACATCTGGGGATAGGGCCCCCCACTCAGCTGCTACCCCCAGTCACGGAAAAATGGAGACTGTGACTCATTTGCTTTCTCTTGGGACTGACATTTCTTTCTGTTTCACAACTGGGAGCCCAGAAGTGGCTGCATCTTGGCTGGGACGAGCAACCCTGAATCCTAAAGAAGAAGCAGATGCCATTTCTGAGAGCCTGCTCTGTTTCAGGCACCATTGAGTGCTTTACCGGCATCACCTCATTAAGTTCCCCAAGCTTGACACCACTGTGATGTAGACCCAGGTTTCTCTGATTCTAGGGTCCCCTGAAAGACCCCAAGGCTCAGACATATGAGTTGCGATGCTGGGGTCAGGCTAGCACTGCATGTCCTTCCTTGTTTCCAGCCAGGGAGGATGCTCCAGCCCCAAATCAGAGGTTTCACTGCCTTAGCATTCCTGAGAGCTCCTTAAGTCCTGAAAGGGGAAAGATCGGCCTGTGGAAGGCGGAAGGAATGAAACTAGACCCTCCCCCCCCAGGTTCAGTGCCTCCATTCCCACTTGTCTGGGGGTGGGGTGGGGTGGAGGTAGAGGATCCAAGTCCCCCAATCTCTGGCACGTTATTTTAGTGCAGAAATTCTCTGGCGCCCCCTGGTGGTCTCCAACACCAGTGTGTTCTCTCAGGGATTGTGTGCACAGCCCAGTGGAGACATCCATCACGGGTGGGGAAACATGGGTTTCCCACATCAAGGAAATGCTAGAGCTGGCACTGACCTGGAACTCCTGGCCACCAGCGCTTTCCACAGCATCACTTTCTATCCCTGTAGTCCTCCATGCGGCTGACTGACCGGCAGGCGAGGCTATAGCATCGATTACATATGAGTACTACCTTACCACGTTACTCTATTAAATGTGCCACACTGTTAGGTGTGCCCTGATACTCTGTTATATATCGGGCCCCACCAAGTCAATATATTTAATGTGAAGTTGGCACAGCTGTTATTCTAAAATGGAATCACAACACTCTTGTCACCCCCACCGGCATTTCACATCCCAAAGGCCAGCCTTTCATCCCCTGCCCACTGTTCCTGGGAGGTGGGCTTTCTCCAGGAACTCAGTCCCACCACCTCATTTGCAGGAATGTCTAGAGGCGCAGGGAGATAAGGTGTTGGGATACAATGTTACTTAAAGTGGGGGAGGTGACAAGAGAGGAAACTACAAAATGCCCTCCAGCCACCAGTTTTTCTTGACCGGAGCCTAAGAAATGACTGCAGGAAGGAGCAGGGTTAGCAAAGGACTCTTACACGGGGAGGGAGTCTGAGTGAGTGTAAGAAGTGCTCACCTTCCTTCGATGGCTGGGCTGTTTGGGCCGGCTGCTCTGATGGCAGAGGGATGGAGTGGGTCTCAGATCAGTGCCAGGCCGGAAGGAGAGGAATCAGGACCTGACTCTTAGATACCTTGGAATGAAACTTTCTGCTCAGTTTTATTCTCCTGTACCTTGTTATGTCTTAGTCCTGAAAGAGAGAAAAGAAGGGCAGTTCCGCTGCCACGTGGAGGGCTGACTTTTCACCCCCGAGTAAAGATGTTAAAGATGTAGTAGGTGGAATGAGCCCCCACCAAAGGCTTGGGGCTGCAGGGCGCAGGAGGTACAGAGCCCAATGTGAAACTGATTTGGGGTGAGAGGGAGGGGATGAGACCCAAGACACCTGGGGGTGGGAGCAATGGTGGCCGAAGGGATTTAGATCGTCCTGCTGAAGATCTAGAAATCCATCCAGGTGCCCGACAAGAACACAGCCACGCTCCTTGGAGGATCCCTAAGGCTGCCTTTGCCAACTTTTCGGAAAGCAGAGTGATCCTGGCCCCGTGACTTTGGTGGAAGGCAAAGAGGGCCCTCGGTGTGAATCCGGAGAAAGGGAGAGAAGTAAAGCCCCCGCTCCACCCCACACCCCCTTCCTGCCTATAAATAACCCCAAGTGTCACTTCAAAGGGGACAAGGAGCGCGGGAGAGGGGCTCCGGGGCCGGCGGGTTGGGGCGGCGGGCCCAGCACACCACGCCCCCCACCCCTGGCGAGTTTGCATAAATAAATAAATCCAAACCGTCGGCCCCGTAGGAGGTGGAGGAGAAGAGGGGAGGAGGAGGAGGAGGAGGAGGAGGGAGGGGGGTGGGAGAGATTAGTTTGGGAAGTAGCACGGATTGCTCATCCGATCCGTTCAGCCACAGCTAGTGTGTCAAGTTACAGAGGCGCCGGAATCGGCCCCAACGCTCCTCGGCAGCGGCAACGACCCACCTCTGCCCATGGGGCCCTCCATGCGCGCCCCTTCGCCGCGGGACTGAAACCGGCTCGCCCGGGAGTCGTGAGACACCAAGAAGGACGGACAGCGCAGAACCAACTCCAGGACTCTGCAAACACTTGAAGGGAAAAACGGGGCGGAGAGAAGGAGAGCCGTCCAGATTCCCCTAACTTTCCTGGACTTGGAACATTCTTCGAAGTAACTTTCTTCTCACCTGGGTGCACCCCGATTACCGCTGGTTGTGTTTTTTTCGGCTTTTCCCCTCCTGCCGCTAATTTTTCCATCCTCTGCCGGGAGCAAAGGAAAGGGACATTTCCCCCCTGCCAGCAGCTCGGATCGCGCCTCGGGGCAGCGGCTCTCGCCTTTATTTATTCTATTTATTTATTTATTGGTTCTCAAGACCCGAGGGGATGGTAGCGGAGCGCGCCCGCAAAGCGGCAGCAGCCGGTGCCCGCGGCCCCGGGGAGCCGGGCGCGCCCGCGGCGGTGGCGCCGGCCGAGCGCTGCGCGCGGCTGCCGAGCCCGGGGTCGTGCGGGCTGCTGGCGCTGGCCCTGTGCTCGCTGGCGCTCAGCCTGCTCGCCCACTTTCGGACCGCCGAGCTGCAGGCCCGGGTGCTGCGCCTGGAAGCGGAGCGTGGGGAGCAGCAAATGGAGACGGCTATTTTGGGACGAGTCAACCAACTGCTGGATGAGGTCTGTGCTCTTTGTTGCTGGCTTTTATCCCTCCCCGCGGCGCCCCCTCGCGCAGCCTCCAAACTTTCGACCAGCGGGCGCCCGCGGGCGCCCGCGGGCGCTTGCTCTCCTCCCGGCGGCGCGGAGCGCCCGGGCCCCGCAGGGGCTGTCTGCGGGTGGGTGGGGGCGGGGACGGACGCTGACCTGCGGGGCCTCGGAGGACCCCGAGGACCCCGGCGGCTTGCGTGGGACCCCTCAGCTCCCGCGGCCCGCAGGCGCCCCCCACGGCCCGCGCTGAGAGCGCCTGGGCGCGCGGGGCAGGTGGAGGAAGGCGAGGCGCGCGGAGGCTGCCAGGCCCCACTTCTCCCGCCCGGCACCCCGCCAGGGCCGTGTGAGGGCCGCCCAGCGCCCACGCGGCGGGATGTGTGCCCGGTGGCCCTGGCGGAAGCTTGATGGGCCCTCGCGGCCCTCGCATCCATCCCTTGAGGATCAGCGTTGCCTGATTTTTATTGCCATGTTCAGCGGGGAAAAGAGAGTGAAGGAGCGAGTCATCCAAGGGGCTGAGGGGGACAGACGGGGCTGGCCTTGCAGGGAGTGGTGTCCTGGTCCCTGCCCACTGCCCCAGACCGCTAGGGCCCAGGTGTGGATCTCCCTGATTCTGCTGTCCTGGGGCTCAAATAAGCCCATACCCTCTTGTTTCTAAGCCACGTTTCCTATCCCTGGTCCCCTCGAATGGTCCCCATCATTTTATGTTTGTGTGTTTTTCTGGGAAGAGGATGCTGAGCTTTTCCCCCTTTTGAAATGTCCTTGAACCTAAGTGGCTTAAAAGCCCTTAGTGTTGTTTAGCCATGGCGATCGTAGGAGTACATGAAGAGAGCTCGCCCGCCCCCCCTCCCAAGGAAGGAGGAACAGGCAGCCTTATTGGTGCCACCAGAGGAAGAACTGGCCAGTTCGAGTGGGAGTCCTGGTGACTCAGGAGACTCGGAACAGCACAAGGGATCCAGGGCCCAAATGAAGGAGAGACCACCGGCGAGGGTTGCAGTGGTCTGGGAAGAGGTTCTAGAACGGGTTGGCCAGGGAAGGTTTCCCTGAGGAAGAACTGGGAGGGGACCTCTTCCTTCGTCCGAGGGGCTGTGGAACAGTAAAGAGCAGGGAGAAGGTTTTTATCCCCACTCTGCTACTTAGAAGCTATGCGACCTGCAGCAAATACCCTTACCCCTCTGAGCTGGCAAACTGGTTGAGATGGTGGTTAGCATGGGAACCCGGCTCTAACTGTGGTGGGCGCTGTGGCCATTCTGGCCGGAGGCTCCGGTGCCCCGCAGCCGGGCTCCTCTCGGGTTCTGCTGCCAGGCAAAGGCTCTCTGGCGTGGTCAAGGAGAGGGAGGTCACAGGACCAGAGCAGAGATGGTCCCAGCGCTGCCGGCAGCTCATTCCCATGCCCTGCCAGGACCCAGGGGATCCAGGACTCTGCCAGGCCACCCGCAAGTCCCCTGGGAAGTGTCTGCGCTCAGCAGCGCGAGCCAGCGCCCTCTGCTAGCTGTCTGAGAGTGCATGTGGGACTGGCTGGGTAGTGGAGATGGTGTCAGGGCAGTGAGGGCTCCCCCAGGAATCTCAGGGGCCCTGGCAGCTGAGGGGCAAGCATTTGACTCCAGGGAGCTCCTCTCAGTGCCTCTCTCCATCCTCTCCCCTCCCCGGCCCCCCGCTGCTGGCCAGGGCATGCCGCAGATCCTTGCTTCCTCCCCTTGAGACTTAGCCATGTCAAGTCTCATGCTCGTAGGGCCTGGGGGCTGACCGTGTTACTGGACGTGCTGATTCCTCGTCTGCCAACCATAGTGTCCGCTGCACCCACTGACTTCTAGACCTCTCATCTGCCAGAGCATCTGACCTGACCCCCATCTGTAAGATGGGGAAATGAAGGCCCACAGAGGGGCCGTGGGTTACTCTGGTCACATGGCGAGATCCAGCATTAGAACCCAAGTTCCTGACCCCACTTCCAGTGCTCTTCACCATGTCCTGCTGCCTTCCTCTGTCCGTTTTCATTCAGGCAGCAAGTGTTTCCTGAGAGCCGGCTGTGGATCAGGCATTGTAGGGGACCCACTTCTGCCCTCCCTACTCACAGGCAAATAAGGCACAAAGAAGACCCGGGCAGTGACCCTGTCATGTGAAAAATGCTAGGGTGATGGGAGCCGAGGAGGTCTGGGGAATGTATTAACATGCAGCATACGTGAGGGCAGTGGCTTGCTGGGAAAGTGATTTTCGAGTGATGTCTTAAAGGGTGAATCGGAGACATCCAGGCCAAAGGGGATGAGTGGAGGGGCCTTGTTCCAAGGGACAAAGGGAACAGCGTCTGAAGGTCGGAAGCCAGAGGGAGGGGTTGGCCTTGGGGAACGGAGTGGTGGAAGATTCGGCTGGAGAGAGCCGGACTGGGCTGCATGTAGGGACAGAGTGAGGTGAACGGGAACGGGGGCTGCAGCGGGGGGCACTGAGGGCAGTAGCCGAGGGCCCTGGAGCCAGAGGGAGGGCTGGTCCTGGGAGTGGAGGTGGTGGGTGGCCTCCTCCGTGGGGAGGTGGCCCAAGGAGATATCCCCTGGGTGGGACCTACAGTCCAGGCTTCATGAAATGACACTCAAAGGTCTGCACGGTCCCATACAGTTACATGTAACTCATTATCCTTACATGAATTCAAATCAAATACAATTTAAAATTAAGCTTATCAGTCACACTGACCACCTTTCAGGTCAGTGCTCAAGAGACACCCAAGGCTAGCGACTACCAGTTGGACAGTGCAGATATAGAGCATATGCATCATCGCAGAAAGTTCTGTGGGACAGCATTGCACTAGGAGCAAGCCACTTCTGGGCCAGCAAAGGTGTCTTGGAGCAACTCAAGGCCTCCCTCCGCCCTAGGCCTTCTCTTTCCTACGTGTGCTCTTCCAAGTCGGAGCAAAGAGCAAAGGGCAAAAGTGAGGAAGCAGAGAGTCAGAGAAGAGAGAAGGTGGAGCGGAGGAAACCCCAGTGAGAAGAAAAGGCAGAGGAGAGCCGGGGAGGCAGTTTTGTTAACAGAGTGATTCTGTGGCACGGACTTACAGAGGGTTCCTGCTCTAAAGGGTGCACAGGCACCCCATGAGTGTAGGGGTCCCAAACCAGGATTCTGGCTGGGCTTTGCCAGCCCTGTGGCCTTTGGCAAGACATGCCACCCCCAATCTCAGGTTCCTTCTTTTGGGGGTGCTGTGAGACTCTTAGGATATGGCAGGTAGGAGGATGCACTAGAAGGTGCCACCACCAAAGGCTAGGCCCAGGATGGTATGAGCGCTCCCGGTGGGTTCCCCAGGATCTGGGGCAGGCAAGCCATGCTGGAGCAGGTGAGCCTGGGCCACTCCCTGAAGGACGGAAGAAGGGCATTGGACAGGGCAGTCCTGAGGAAGCCCACAGCCTACTCGGTGGCCTGGAGGCCGGATCCCAGGGGCACATGCACACCACCCATCCCAGTGGGGAAAGCAACGTGCTAGGCAGAGACCAAATCTGGGAGGCGGGCGGAAGGCCAGGCCGAGGGGACCCAGTGGGAGCGGAGCCTGGAAGGAGGCAGGCCAGAGGCAGATGCAAGCAGAAGGCCTGGATCTGAGCGGCCTGGCCACTGGGAGGGGAGGGTCAGGGCGGGGGGAGGAGGACGGGGCGGGGAGCCAGCTTGCGGGGAGCTGGCAGTGGGGCTTCCAGGCCTCAGGCCCCCACTCTTCCCCCATCGGTGCCTCTCTCCTGGGCTGGGACCCTTAATGAGCGCTCCAGCTGCCTGTTGCTTGGTTTGCTTGCTGTAAAGAAAGGAACTGGAATGTCCCAAACGGAGGAAATCAGATGTCACCCAGGGCTGGGCAGCGGGTGTGCCGTGAAAGAGAAGGGTCTGGATTTGAGAATAGCCAAGTCCATGTTGTTGGCCAAGGGGGAGCAATGGGAGTCAGCAGCCATCTTCCAGGTGGGCACTGGGGGATGCCCGGCAGACTCCCCTTCCCTGACAGTAAGAGTAACGGCCTCCCCCGATGGGAGGGTCTCACGTTTATATGGTACATCCGGCAGCCAATGCTGTGCGTGATACCTCTTCCAATCCTCACAGCCTCCCTAAGGGGCAGACACTCTCATCATCCCATTTTACAGATGAGAAGACTGATGTCACTGTAACCTCCAACCTGCTATCGATGATCCAATCCTTTGGGTGTTAAGGGCATTTTCCACCTCCAGGAATTTCCTGGGGGCTGGGAGGTGTTGAAGCTTCCAGGCTAAAATGTTGAGAAACCTGGGGCAGACTCTCTCATCCCTAAAAACAACAATGCCCACCACTGTAACAGAAATGTCTCCCATTTATAGGGTGTGTACAGGGGACTTTTATTGTTTTTGTTTGTTTGTTTGTTTGTTTTTCCAGAGGAGCATTCAGGGGAGAGATCAAAGCGGTGTCTGAAAGACTGGGCTCCAGATGGGGGGGTCCCATCTCAGTCCCCTAGGATGGAAATGCCGGAACGGGGATGGCAGTGGGGCCTTACGGGGGATGTATGTGCTGCTGGGGTGGGACCTGGGCCTCGGTAATCAGACCCTGGATCCACGCACCTGTGCATGCAGCCAGCCATGAACCCAGCCTCCACTGCGTCTGACTCTGCGTGTATCAGTGCATGAGTGATCTTGTGGGGAGTTAATGGAGGGAAGATCCTCAGAGCCCCTCAATCCCAGCCCCCTGTCTCTTCTGTTTTCTAAGAAAACTGATCTGAAGTCTCTGCAACCAGGTTCCATACCACACCTTCTCCCTCCCATATACTTAGTTGTCTGGTCAAGTGGTGGTAAAGACTGGGCATGCCGTGTGTGCTTCACTCCCCATTCCCTGGCCTCAGCAGACATCGCTAATCAATAGCAGCACACTTTCCCATTGAGCTTATGTACAGTCTCAGAATCCTTCTCAACACTGCTCCAGAAAGCTATCATTAAGTAGTGAGAGTTGGTGTTCAAGACCAAGAGCGATTTCTTGACTCTCAGTTAAAAGAA